TTCGATCCCCGGTGGAAGCACACTATTCTCTTTCCTGTTACAAATGGTGTCCGTGGCCCTCCCTGTGGTGACAGGGAGTTAGAACCTGGGTTGTGGTGTTCGAGGGCGAACACATTTAAAAAGGGGGGAGTAGTGTGGCAGGGTTCAATTGTACATAGGATTAAGGTCGCCTTCTAGCTTCGAGCTAGGGGGAATTTCCCTTTAGCTCAGTGGTAGAGCGTCAGACTAGGAACCTGGAGATCGAGGGTTCGATCCCCGGTGGAAGCACACTATTCTCTTTCCTGTTACATATCTATGACTACTTAGCTACTATCTTCAAATAAAACTCTGACCACAAGCCAAGGCTAATAAAATGCATAGCATTACAACTTGATACTTTTTACAGGCCTAGGCGCTGAGTAACGTCGCAGTCAGTAAAATCAAATTTGATAGAAAAAAGGCCAAACAGCAGCCTCTTATGTTATAGGAGTAGAGATATAGAGGGAAAATATGCTTGTGATCTTTTATTTGGCTTATTTAGGACTGTATACATGCATTAACAATTATTATAACTCATAGGTCAATTAAGCTTCTTTTGTGTTTCCGTAATTAGTGTTAAGATAAAATATAATGACACTTTGCCTCAAGTTCCTTTTACTTTGTATAAGCTAGCCTTAAACAATAGAATTGACCAAAGTTCTGAATTTGCATCCAGCTGTTTGGTTAATTTAAACAAAAAAATATAAACACTCTCAACACTTTCATTTACAGGCATAAAAAACACAGAAAAAGAAAGCATGATGATGAAGATGCAGCAGGGAGCTCAAATCCCAAAGACACATCAGATTTGGCAGATCATGGTAACACAAAATAAGCCAAAAAGCATCAGTGTCGTCAACTTTGTTTCTCATAAAAGTTAATTCAAATTGCTTATGTTTAATTTTGTTCTGCATCGCTACTATATGAACTTACCTGGTACAAAAAAAAACAGTAATAATTAATTAGACCATAAATCCTTCATGATGTCATTACAATTTGGACATCAAAATTATTACAGGGATCTTGTCAAAATGTAGTTGGCTGTCCCAAGCATTTCAAAACAAATTCTTGCAGTTTGCAGTACAAATACAAAAGTTAAGAATCGTTTTAATTCTATTGACAAAATTGATGGAAAAAAATAAGAATTCAACTGCATTTTGTTTGGGAAACAAGATTATAGATAACACAAATCTTAACGTGCTTACATTCATTTTTTCAATTTTTCTGCAATACACTTCAGAAATTTAGAACTTTGTATGAACAGAATGCAGTTTATTTTATTCAACACTGACGAGAAATATTCTATGAAAATATACCACTGTTAACAAAATCCCCAGTAAAACTATTTCAACTTAATTCTAACTTAAGTATGTTGCAAAGTACTGTAGTGACACCTGTCTAATGTGACACTTCATGGGATTCAAAGATCACTTAGATTAGACAGGGTGTCAGAATACACAGATTTATAGGATGATAAAGAACTGTAAAAGGGATGTCATAATACTCACAGATTATATTAGACTGGTTTCCAAAAGACTTTTTGTAAAAATTAAGCTACCGGTTAAGGTATGTATTGTATTGTCATCTTTGATATGTGTCATGTAAAAGATCTTTTGAATTGAAGACATTTGCTTGTATGATGTATCATTACATGTATGTATTTTATACTCTTAAATCTGTTAATGAAATACTCTGTTTTAGTGGTGGTGCTATTTTAGTGCTTTTCATGCATGCTTTGATTTTTGCCTGAATTTATGAATGCTCCAATTGAAGAACCCTAATATTGTTCTATTTCACATATCTTCAGGCCGATTCATCAATGTGCTTATCTGTTTATATTCAATAATGTGCTAAAAGTTGAGTGCACAAAAATAGTTAACATCAATTATTTTGTCTTCTTTGTACAGGAGGTTGGTGGAAGGGACAAAAATTAGATGACATTAGCGGAATGGTTGTCGTGGAGATGAGAGAACAGCGCTACATCTGTCCACAAGACAATGGCAGTCTGAAACTTGGCAATCAGCATCTACCAGGTACAAATCCACAGAGAAACATGTTCTTTTTATGTGTTTTGTTTTAAGTTTCTCCCTATTTATTACTTCATTTCTGACTAGAGCACCAAACCTGTGTCCAGTAAACTACACCTATTTGTTGTTGTGCAGTGATGTTGATGATTGTTGAGGATTCTTTTTATCTGTACATGTTTATGAATTTTCAGTCTGAATTATAATCTTGAAATTTTAAGCATGTTCAGTTTCGGTTGTTGTCTATCAAATTTTTAAAATGAAAGAAGCAGCAAGCATTATAGTATTTTTAGGTCACCTGAGCTTTAGCTCAAGTGACGTATTGCTATCCGTTTTCGTCCGTCGTCGTCCGTCGTCCGTCGTCCGTTAACATTTTACATTTCAAACTTAAAGTCAAGTTCTGCTGGGCCGATTGAACTGAAAGTTGGTAGGAATGATCGCCTCATGGTCCTGACAAAGTGTTGTTATTTTTCGGGTCAATCAGAAATACAATTTGGCTGCCATGGCCGCTATTTTGCTACTAAGTTCTAATAGGCCGATCTCACTTAAAATTGGTCTAGGAATGATCAGCTCATGGTCCTGACAAAGTTAAGTTAACATTATACTATTTTTTACTCAAATTGGTACATATTTCAACAACAACAAAAAATATTGTAGACTCAGGTGACCGTTAAGGCCCATGGGCCTCTTGTTTGGGGTCTTTGTATTTGTTTAAAATATTGTACATTACTTAAAATTTGCAACACTTTTTGTGTTAATTTGTGAGGAGACTCATTAACAGATTTTAATCTATGATATACGGGTAACTTCAGTAAGTTTCATCAGTTTGGGAATATATAGTGTTACTTTACACAATGTATACATGTATTAAAACTGTCACAACATTTCGGGACCGACTGGTCCCTTTGTCAAGCTATAATAGAGTGAGCGATTTGTATTGTTTACCTTTGCAGTCTGTACAATGGTGTGAAAAAATCGCATATTTCATATGTCAATCGACCTGGGACATTTCGCCTATATATGGTAGTCTTTTGAAGCAAGTCAGAAGCTTGTAGTGTTGTTCACTAAACAAAGCTACTGACAATTCCGAAATTTTGATTTGCTTCAGAGACAGAGGCAATTACTTGCATACTTAAGTTAAAAACAGTGATGTATGTCCTTAGGTGATGTACCCGACCCTGAAGAAGTATTCACAGCCATCAAGATAAACGAGACAAAAATTGCCATCAAGTCTGGCTACGGCAAATACCTGAGCATTGATACTGACGGCTCGGTGATAGGAAAGTCTGATGCCATTGGTTCCCGGGAACAATGGGAACCTGTTTTCCAAGAGGTAGGTGCTACAAATGCCTTGTTTTCTAAATTTGTTGAAATCTTCACTCTCTAGCCTTTTTGTACAAAATTGCCCGGGATTAATTTGTCTATGTATAGTATACTTACAGGATCTTTATTACTTTATTATCTATATATATATATAAATTAAAAAAACTTAAGACACTATATCTTGTTGGTAGTTTCATCCATGTTGGAGTTCTTCAGAAAATCTACTGAAGAGACCCAAGATGGGCGAAAGTGCTAATGGGATATGGTCTTCAAGTGTTTTATTTTATTGCTATTTCTACATTCACATGCATGTTTAAACATTTTCATACATATTTGGTAACACTGATGTTTAAAACTTTATATATATATATATATATCTAAAATATAGAATAAAATATGAAGTATCCAAGATTGACCGCTAGGTCTTTCTGCTCTCTGTGCTTCTTCAGGCGGACTCTGAATTACATTATAGATCTATAATATATCTATATATCAGTCATAAGTTTTGCCAATGTGGATTTCACTGTCTCGTTCAAGAACAAAGAAACGAAACATTAATGGGACAAATCCTGCATTATAATAGATAAGATGCACAAGTACTGAGTTCGGAGAACAACCTCTTGAGCTACTGAATTTCATGACGAACTACAGGGTTATCACCAGAAGTTACATGGTTGTTTGTTTAATACAGGGAAAGATGGCCCTCAACGGCTGTAACGGAAGGTTTATGTCCTGTACCTCTGATGACAAGATCATGTGTGCAAGCTCTAAGGCAGGGCCCGAGGAGATGATACAAGTAGGCTCTTACAGTTATTTCTGATACAAAATATACAATGTCAATGAAGAGATGATAGGGACCTTTGCTCTGACACAGACCTTCACATGCTATCTCTACCGATTCTTTAACATCAAACATGCCTTTGTGTCTTTCATTGCATCAATATTTTTTTTTCAAATATTTTCCATTCACTATTATTTTCTAGATTCCTATGCAAGCTTTCTTAAGACACTGAAAATTTAATGTGAAGGAATAATTTTGATGATACTGACAATGTCAGGCCTAATCCAGTTGCTTATTCTAGAGTTGATAAAAGTAACAGAAATCATTGGGTTTTTGATATTGACATGACCATATGTTTTTATTTACTAGATACGCATGAGTGTGAAAGATGAGGTTGACCCACTAGCTCACATACCTGTAGAGGAGAGAGGCAAACTGAAAGATGCTGAAATCAACTATGTGTTAGTACAAGTATTCATCAGTTTAAAACATTTTGTGTTCTATGAAAGCTGTGCAATATAATGTATAATTCTTATTTCACAAAAGTTTGTCCACATAAAACAAATCTGTGAAATATATAAGATTTTACATGAGCTTCCATTTTAAATGAGTTTTACAAAAAAAAATTCTTATAATTTTTTCATTTCAGTTTGATTCTGACAAGCTAGAATGAAAAATTGTGATGAATTTCAAAAATCTCATGAAATGAAAACAAGTCTAGGAACTTTTTATGATTTGATAAAGGTCTCCAGTAATTTAACAAAATAATTTTATGTCACAAAAGATCATACGGCTACATAAGTTAAAAGATAAATAACAAAAACAGGTTGAGAATTGATATTTCTTAAAGTTTAAGTGAATTGTTTGGAAACATTTTCATTAGTTGTAAATATATGATAAACTACAATCTTCGAAATACTAATTATGTGAAAAAATAGAACAATTTTAGACATGGCCTCATCTTTTCTGAAAAATGAGATCCAGGTTTGTACTAACTTGAAATTCCATTTTTTTTCAGAAAAAAATTTCAAAGTTTCCAGGATAGGAGATTAAAAATAAGTGCAGAGGATCTTTCCAATCTGAAGAAAGCAAAGACAACTGGTACCCTTCACGAGTGTATGCTAGACAGGTGGGTAAAGTTTATGGTGATTCAGTTCTTATTTATTATCAGTTTGACTAGAACTTTTAATACCCCCTTCGAATGACGGGATGTATTATGTTATCATGTGAGCGGATAGGTGGGCGTGTGCTAACGGTGTGCGGTAGATATCTCTGGTATTTTTCTACAAATTAACTTCAAACTTCATAGAAAGGTTCATTGCCATGAAAGCTCAGACAAGTTCGATAATTGCAATTATTGGGCTGTATTCAAAGAGTTATGATCCTTTATTTATTTGCCAAAAGTGTCCACTCAACATGTCGAGTAGTTTTCAATGGATTAACTTCAAACTTCATAGGAAGGTTCATTTTCATGATAGCTCCGATGTTTTCGATAATCAACCTGAACAAATTGTGCTTTAAAAAAACCACATATTTATCTAAAGGTATGGGCTTATTTTAAAGCATGGTAGATAATTGAAACATGGATACATGTATGTGAAATGTTAATAAATATATTTAATATATAGGTCTCTTAAGGGAGCCGTAGAAGTCACTTGGGGAACCACATATTACACCATCTAAGGAAACCATATAAGCTTTTTAAGTGACTTTATACTACTTCTGAGAGAACTGTATAAACCACATAAAGAAGCTGATAAATGTGTTTATTTATAGCTCAATTGAACAAGTAAAAAACCCCACACTCTGTTTTACAATATTTCCTGTATTTCCTGCTGATATATCAGATCTGAGAATGTAAATGTGTTTGTGTTGAGAACCTTTAACTCATTCACCCCTGAAATTTTACAATGAAATATTCCAACTTTTGAATAGGAAGAGTTCAAATGTGTCTTCAGGGGTGAATGCGTTAATCAGTTATGTATGGATATGGTTGATTTTATATGATCTTTTTCTTTTCACAGACGAGAAAAGCTTGAACTTATTCACCCCTTGAATTTCACAATGTACTATTCCAACCTTTGAATTGGAAGAGTTCAAATGTGTCTTCAGGGTTGAATGAGTTAATCAGTTATCTTCTGCTTCTTCTTCTTTCTCCCGTTAAGATTCAAATTCCTGATGTGGAATGATGACGAATCTGTGTGTGCATGACAATACTAGGTCAGATAAAATCCACAATCACAATTAGTCTGATGACACGGTCTGCACAGTAAGGGGAGATAAGCCCGCCCTAAACTGTTCTAAAGATGTGCAGATCCTCAGGTTTTTGGGTAGAAAATTCTATGTATTGATATGGTTGATTTTATATGATCTTTTTCTTTTCACAGACGAGAAAAGCTGAAAGCAGACCGTTACTGTAAATAACATCACCACTAGAATTCAAATCCAGAAATGACGATGGAAGTAAATCATGGAAGGGTTACCTCTCTTCTGCTTCCAATTAACTTAAGTCATGTATCTGCATGACAAGGATGACAAGACAGAAGCAACATTACGTAACCAGTGGATTCCTCCGTCATTATGCCATGTGATGTGGAAAGATGGCAGGAAAGTGACTGTACAGGACCGTAAGACTGGAAGGTACATTGCCTCAGGATTGGTGCCTTTTTAGTGTAGCGGAGCTGCCATATACTGCTGGCAAAAACTGTAGATATCATGTTTATAAAAGCTGTCAGTGAAGGGTATATATCCCTTGTTGTAAAGGTGTCAGAATAAAATGGTGAGCGAGTTTGTGATTGAATCAAGACATGGGTTTGGTAGTTATAACTTTTTATATACTTATCTTGATGACAGTAATAGTGGTTTGGAGTTGTCCTTAGTTCATTTATGTGTTGAGGGCTCAACCCATACATGTAGACTACCCCTCTTTGAGAGGTCCTGTCCATCTGGATCCCATATATGTGCTTTATTTAACAAAATATGTATGTAAATTTACGAATACTTCAATAATTTTCGAAGTGTGGAAATGCGTGCCTTTTTTCGTGTCAAGTAAATTGGCTTGAAAATATCCACAGGCAAATATTTGTTAATAAATTAAATAAATTATTAATATGATAGATTATATAGATTTCTGAACCATTACAATAACTAAAATTTCCACACTGCAATCAGTTTAAAAGTCATAATGTGAACACTTCCACACGCGGTAAAATTCTGATTTCTCAGCACAATAAAGCAAATTCCATGGTATTAGAAATAAACAGGATCTGTTGTTTCCATTACCATGATCTTATGAAGCGACGAATGTGGTGTCCATTTGAAGGGGACCAAAAATGATAAAAATAAAGAAAAATGTTTCGGAGAGATTGCAAACAAACCTGTTTTAATATGAACTTGATTACAAGCTACGCAACAGCAATAATCTTCCTGTTTCAAATGATGAGTGCATTGGTTTATATTTGATATCCATGAGCTAAAACGTGGATCAAGGTTTTTCATTTCAACAAAGTTTAAAGCCCTTCATTCCATCATGCTTAAAACATAATATTATGATCAAGGCCTTTATACTGAATAAAACTCTGTCATCTCCATATGCTACTCTTCTCTTCTTCTTTAGGGTGCTGGGGCTCCATCAATAATGACGATTATGCCCTCGGGGGTCCTGTCACAGAGGCGTGAAAAAAGTGGTTATTTACAGTGATTAGTTGTTTTTTTTGGTGTTTTTTTTGTGCAAGGTATAGATAAAAGGTAAAAGCTGGCATATGTTTTAGCATGCGATGAGGGCTTCAAGGGCTGCATAGGGTATACGTGCCTTGAAGTCCTCTAGTGTTGCGCATTGTACTGCTACTATGGGAAGGAGATTCTTGTGTTATTGTATGTGGAAAGAATGAATATTTGTAGGTGTCCTTTGTAGCAGATATGTGTTTGTATGCGTGAGGGTGTGCATGTCTGGTTCTAGGGTCTACAGCTGTGAGTATATATGTTGGGCTTATAGCTACGATTTGGTGTACAATTTTGTAAAAAAGGATCATTCTTGTGTGAAAGCACCGTGTTTGTAGTGTTGGCCATTGTAGTTTGTGGATCATGTCTGTTACTGAGCTGGTGTTGTGGTATATCTGTTGTTTACGTAGCGTGCTGCTCTTCGTTGTGTTTTTTTTCTATTTGTTTAATTTGGTTTTTGTTGTGTGGATCCCAAATGGAAGAGCAGTATTCAAGTTTTGGTCTGACTAGTGCTTTATATGCGTGTTCTTTCATATGTGGTGAGTTTATTTTTAAGTTGCGTTTTAGAAAACCTAGGGACCTTTTGGCATTGGCTGTGATGTTGTTAATATGTTTGTCCCATTGTAGGTTAATTTGTAATGTAAAGCCTAAGTATTTGCTGGATTCTACTTGGTGTAATGTGTGGTTGTGGAGTTTGTAGTCATAGTGCTTTTTGTTGTGTTTCGGTGTAATGTTGAGTATGTTGCATTTGTCAGGGTGAAATTTCATTAGACAGTCCGTCTCCCTTTGTCCTGCTGCGTCAAGGTCATGTTGTAGTTTTAATGTATCTTCTTTGTTGTTTATCGTCTGCAAATAGGCTAAGTTTACTGTTCTCGTGGAAGTCATTGATGTAGATGAGGAAGAGGATGGGGCCCAAACAGAATCCTTGAGGTACCCCAGAGGTTACTTGTATTTTGTCTGATTGTTTGCCCTCAAGTACTACTGTTTGGGTGCAGAATGAGAGAAAGTCTGTAATCCACGATGTGTGTTCCCTGTTATCCCGTAATATTTAAGTTTGTACTGTAGTCATTTGTTTGGGACTTTGTCGAAAGCTTTGGTGATGATGTCTGTCTGTTTGTTGATGTTGTTGTTTGATGCGAGATCGTGTATGAATGTGGTGAGCTGCGTTTCACAGGATCTGGAGGATCTAAAGCCGTGTTGTAGGTCATATAATATGTTGTTGTTCTCAAGATGTGTCATTGTGGCGCTTGTTATGATGTGTTTCATGAGTTTACATGTGATGCAGGTTAGTGATACTGGCAAAATATTACCATATATTTCTTAGTTATTGCTAAAAGTCGTTTAAAGTTTTAGCACATTTGACCTCTATGACCTTGAATGTTGGTTTATGTCATTTCTAAGAAGAAAAAAATATATCCTTTCATCTGAGCATGCTACCAAACTAATATAACATAAAGCCTCTTTGTTATTCAGAAGAAGCTGTTTAAAATGTTAACAAATTTGACACTTACAGTATGACTTGGGAAATGGTCTCTGACTAGTCGAGAGCTGGTCTACCATTTTCTCGGAAACTAAATGGAAAATTCCAAAGAAAGTTTGCATGAGTATAGGTGGTAATATGTAGTTGTGCAAGAAATGTTTCGAGCAACCTGCAAAAATGTCCTCCGTGGCATCTGATTGGTCGAAATTTGAAACAATGTGATTTTGCTAAGAATTTAAGTGCTTCCTGAATAACAATTTCAGGTTTACCAATGATTATTGCATAAGTTGTTATTCATGATAAATTCTTCTTGTAGAAAATGCTAAAATATGCAATTCTTTTGGAGAAAACGAAAAAAGGACAAAATCAAAACTATTTTCCAGCTGTCATACATCAATCAACTGTATTTAAGGATCCCCGTCCCTCCATCTTAACATGTAATGAGGCATTGTTTTTTTTTCTACGGCATTGCTATTTCATAACCAAATCATTTCTGAACAGTAACCCATACCTTGCGGTAGTTTCTTCAGACTTTTTGGGATACATGTATTATGATTTTTTTTGATTTTTTGATTTTTTATTCAATGGAACAAAATGAAACAAAATATATTTTATTTGATGCAACAATGGTTGATTAGAAATATAACACATACAAAATTATAACAATGTCAATATTGATGAACAAAACAAAAAAAAACTGAGTAATTTTCTAACAATAATACAAAAACAAACAAAAATGCCCGTTACATGAAACAATACAATTCCGAGTGCCAATGCAACACGTTTAGGACAACAAAAGAAAATATACGTGACAAAAAATAAATATCTTATTATACAAAAAATTATAAAGATACAATAAAACTAAACAAAAAAGAGAGACAACTCTTACATTTGTACCAATAATAATTCTAAATCCCACAAAGTCATATATACAATTTACAACATACAATATACTTTTATATACGAATATAATACAGTAGGCATTACCAACCAATATAATCACTTCAAATGTAATAACCAATATAAAACAAAATTGCACATTGTGTATGAATATAACAATGTACTTTACTGTGTCATAGCAAAAGTGTCACAACAATAACAAAGTTCCACATACTTTACACAACATAAATAAATTTCTACATAATGTACAAATAACATACTATGTTGTGATATAAAAAAATCACACTATATACAACAGTTATAAACTTTTTCATTCTGAACAAAACAATAATAAACTTTCACATTATGTACAGATAACAACATACCATATTGTGATATAAAAAATATCACACTATATAGCCATAATAAACTTTGTCATTATATACAGATAACAACATATATCGTGGTTTAACGAATATCACACTATACAACAATAATAAACTTTTACATTATGTACAAATAACAACATGCGATATTGTGGTATAAAAATATCACATTGTAAAAAAATAACACTGTTGTATGTAATATAAAAAATGAACTTGAAATATAGGCTTATTGGGCATAAGCTTATACATGTGTAACAGGAGAGGAATAAGGCACGGACAGACCGGGGTTCGAACCAGGGACCCTCTTAAACTCTAGACGGATGCTCTACCAATTGAACTATCTGGTCGCCGACGATCGACCGAGTCCAGTTCCGCTACATTCATCCCTCCTTTAACAAAGTCTTCTAGCCCGAAAGCCACACAATACCCTATACCGTCTTCTGTGGGTATATTTCGTTGGGCACCAAATGTAACAGGAGAGGAAAAACGCACGTCCAGATCGGGGTCGAATCCGGGACCCTCCGCCTCTAGACAGATGCTCTACCAATTGAACTATCTGGTCACCTACAATGGACCCAGTCCAGTTTTGCTACACATTTAATATAATCCTAACTATTGTGATGTATAAAATACTTCCCTGGCCAAAATGTCTTTCCTGTTGGGTATAAAACCGTAGCCTAAAATGTAGTACCGCATTCCTTACAACCTTTCTGGTCCAGGTATTCAGATAATATCGCGAGTTCAACCACTCGTCTACCCTGCAACCAGGTTAAAAAATTATTGGCGTATTCGTGAAGGATCCTCATCGGACGTCGGTGTTGGCTCGTCAGTAAAATTGTCAGTAAGCTTAGTAGGGGCCTCAGTAGCCAGCGTCGCTTCAATGTGTGAACGAGTGTCACTTTGTTTCATTGCTTAGTCGTGGTCTAGCAGTTGATATTGGACATCATTGTTGTTATTATTGTCAGTTAATGCGTTTAGTTTACATATAAAACGGTAGATTTTGTGTTGGGCTTGCATGTCGGCCATCGCTGCCACGACGTTATTTACATTGTCACGACAGCTTTTTTTGCCCACACTTTCGCTATTGGAAATTTTCACCGCAAGGTACACAACTCTGTAGTCGAAACATTATCCGAACGAAATCTATTCAAAGGATGATAACAGCATTGTCGAAATGGTAATCAGGTTCAGGTGACTCTAATACTGAAAAACGACTGGAATTCTTTAGTGTTTTGCTCTGGCTGGGACGGGGATCCTTAAGAGGAATCGGATCTTCATCTTTACATGAAACTCACAATATTATAAGCCTCAAAGTTTCGTTTCAGAAGTGCTACGAGATTTATGCTGCTGTATTAACTTTTTCAATCCCTTATACATCCGGTGTTATTCTTTGAATTACCCTACTAATTATTTAGATGATTAGTTAACCTAATTACAGCATGGGGGTCGAAAAATGGATTAGCTGCCGGAATGAATTTTTCGGAATAAAACATTTTTGTTCATCATTATACTTGGGAGAGAACAATTTCTTTCATGTGATGCTGAAATAATATACTTATCATTCAGAATGTATGGATAATAGATCATTTTGTGAAAATTTTAATGTAAAATACAATATTTTTTATTCTCAATATTCTTGTATACTTAACATTTTCATAGTATGAAGAAGTGGTGTTATTTTAAGTATGTTTGCAAAAATTCAGTCCAAAAAAAGTGGTGGAAAGTATTCATTTTGCACAAATAAGTACCCTGTGTACCCAAAAAGGTGAAGGCCTTAGACAATTCCCTGGCGTCCACCAGAAAGCAATGCTACTGTTTACAGGTAATTGGTAATGAAATTCGTTGCAAGCCTACAATAAACCTTTAAATGCAGGCTAGGTCACAAACAGTTCCAAATTAAGATTTGCTTCATCACTTGGCGTGATTGATAAAGTTTTGGTTAACAATCAATTTTGACATCAAATGTAATATCCTGGTCACTTTTTAGAATTTGTTCTTATACATTTTGTTATTTTTTTATACATTTTATCATCAGAGTTTTCTTTTAGCGTTGCTTTTAGAATTTTTAGGTCACCTGAGCTTTGCACAAGTGACCTATTCTAATCGCTTTCCGTCCGTCGTTGTGCC